GGGGGCGGGGCCTCGGAGGCCGTTCTCGCCTCACGGCAGTTTGAAGCCGAGCCGCAAAGTGCGGTCTGCCTGCCGATTGGTGGACGCCCGCCACATGATCTGTGCGTAGTCCCACCCACAGCGCTCCAGGATACTTGGGTTCTTGCCAGCTCTTTACGTGCCCCAAGGACTCATTCCCTTCCATCCCTGGTGAATGGCGATGAAACACTTAAAGTTGGTCTCGTAGACTGAGAAGGGAGAGAGAATGGATGCAAGTGGGATCCATTTCTCCCACCTCAGTCGGCAAGAAAGGATATCTAGGGTCTCTAGCTTCGAAGGCCGGCGGGAAGCGGGTCTCAATGCGCAGGCGCCGGAAGGGAGGTCGTGGGAAGGAAAGCGGGAGCCGGCGACTCCCGAGGCGCCACTGCGCAGGCGCAGGTCTTTGCGACGTCGGCCGACTCACGGCCGTGCAGCGGTGTTCCCCAGCCAGGTGGTTCGGGGCCTGGTCTCTCTGCGGAGCTTCCGTTTGATCATCCGTCCCTTCAGGATTCGGGCGTGCACGGGGGTCGACTCAGGAGCCTCGTGAGTTCCTGAGCCACGGTCACCCTCTAGCGCTGAAGCGAAGCGGAGAGCACACCCACTCGGTTCCTGCCTGTTTTTAACCAGTTGGTCACATAAGCACCTTTTAAAAGTGAAATAAGGGCGTCTGACTTGGGGCTCTGAGCTGGTAACCCCAGAATCAGTGAGACCGCACGTTATTCTGTTGGTTACTTTTTTATTAAAAATTTATTTTATTGATTTTTTACAGAGAGGAAGGGAGAGGGATAGAGAGAAACATCGATCAGTTACCTCCTGCACACTCCCCACTGGGGAAGTGCCCGCAACCAAGGTACATGCCCTTGACCGGAATCGAACCTGGGACCCTTCAGTCCACAGGCCGAAGCTCTATCCACTGAGCCAAACCGCCCAGGGCTGTTGGTTATTTTTAAAATGAAGAAACAGTTACGTGTAAAAAATGGAATTGAGTTGGGTGATTATAGGAAAGTTTTAATCGGGAAATTGCCAGCTGGAATTCTTGGAGCGGAAGAAACAGGCTACTTCGAATCCAAAAGCTTGGAAATAGACCACATGTCGGTCGTTTGAGAGGCCCCGATAAACTATGGCATCTTTACATAGTGAAAACCGAGCTCTTGGAAAGAAAAATTGAGGCATCGCTTTACTAAGTGAATTTTGAAAATCATTAGCCTAACTCCTGATCAATACCTCTAGTGCCTTCGCTTCTCATTCAAGAAAGCCTGAAGTCCTTAGAGTGGCCTATACAGCCCTCTGATGTGGCCCCGTGGGGTGACTTTCACCACTGCTCACCCTGTTCCGCCTTCTGAACCTCCAACAGGCCCCGCACCCCTTGCTTCAGGGCCTTGTCACCTGTTGCTCGCTCAGACCACTGCAGTCCCTTCTCACCCTCCTTCCGGTCTTTGCACAAATGTCACCCTCTCGATGAGCCCTTTCCTTAAGTCCAATCTCAGCTTGCTTTTCCATAGCATCTATTGAATATATAGGTATATTGAATATGAAGTTAAACACTCATTGCCTAGCTCAGGAAGAATATACGAGAAAGTTGTCAGTGGTTGCTTCTGGAGAGAAAAATAGGAGGCAGCAGGGTAATATTAAAATTGATCCTTTTTTCTCTCTTTTCTCTTGGATCTGCATTTAAAAGAAAATGAGCAACCGGTTTGGCTCAGTGGATAGAGCGTCGGCCTGCAGACTGAAGGGTCCCAGGTTCAATTCCGGTCAAGGGCATGTACCTTGGTTGAGGGCACATCCCCAGTAGGGAGTGTGCAGGAGGCAGCTGATCGATGTTTCTCTCTCATCGATGTTTCTAACTCTCTCTCTCCCTTCGTCTCTGTAAAAAAATCAATAAAATATATTTTTAAAAAGTAAAAAATAAAAGAAAATGACACCAGAGAGGACCTGACACAGGTATGTTCTGAATGCCAGGCATTATGCTTGGCCCTGGGGTAGAGAGACGGCAGACAGGATACCTCTCCCAAGGACTCAGTATTTGTTTAGCCAAGTCTGCAGGAGAGAGAGCACACAAACTGGCCAGGGGGACAGCACGTTCCAAAGCAGTCTTAGTGGATCCTGACAGCCCTCCGGGGTCTTCCGAGTGGCAGGGATGGAGATACGGAGAGTGGCGGTGAAGATTTAAGGGAAGAGGCAGAAACCAGTGGAACCACAGCCTACAGGCAGTGTTTGATGCCAGGCTAAGCAGTTTGGCTATTATCCAAGGAGTGGGAGACATTACAAGGTCTTAAGACATTGACACGGCTGAGATCTGAACTTAGCTCATAAAGATATTTCTCCCTGGAGAACTGGAGATGCCTAGGCTACAGGTGACAAACTGGTGGCATACAGATTTAAAAATATATATATATATTATTGATTTTTTACAGAGAGAAAGGGAGAGGGACAGAGATCAGAAACATCGATGAGAGAGAAACATCAATCAGCTGCCTCCTGCACACTCCCCACTGGGGATGTGCCCACAACCAAGCTACATGCCCTTGACCGGAATGGAACCTGGGACCCTTCAGCCCACAGGCCAACACTCTATCCACTGAGCCAAACCGGTCAGGGCCAGATTTTTTTTTTTTTTTAAGTTGCCAACACAAGCGCATGGAACAACTGGAATTCAGTAGGAAAACTGTTTGGCAGTATCTTCTTTTAACACAAATCCTTACCTGAGGACATGCTTATTGATTTTACAGAGAGAGAGGGAAAAGGAGAGGAAAACATCGATCAGTTGCCTCCTGCACCAGCCCCACCCAGGGATTGGACCTGAAATTTGTGTATGTGCCCTCACCGGGGAATCGAACCAGTGACCCTTCGGTGCACTGGACAATGCTCAACCAACTGAGCCATACCAGCAAGGGCAGTACTTATGGTATTTGTTCAGCCAAGTCCGCAGGAGAATAAAGACTGGGGATGTTTTGTTCATCATTTTATACCCTGCAGTTAGTGTAGTGTCTGACACGCCCAAGGGTTTCATACCTTAACAATTTAAAAAATTTTTAAATTGTACTAAAAGGCCATTGCATAAAACTCACTTCCTTTAAGTGTAAAATTCAATGATTCTTAGTAAATCTACAGAGTTTTGCAATCGTCACCACAATCCAGTTAGAGAACATATAAAACCCCTGGAAAAAATCCCTCCTGTCCATTTTCAGCTAATCTTTGTCACACTCTCAGGCCCTAGACAATCACTGATGTGCTTTCTGTCACTATGGTTTAAAATTTTCTCCTCAAAGAACATTTTTAAGAGAATGAAAAGACAAGCCACAGAATGGGAGAAAATATTTGCAAAATGTGTACCAGATAAAGGACTTGTATCCAGAATGAACTCAAAACTCTATCCAGTTATAAGAAAATAACTCAGAAAAAAAGGGGGCAAAAGATTTCAACTAATACTTCATCAAGAAAGACATGAGTAGACTGGCTATCATCAACAAATCCACAAACGACAAGTGCTGGAGAGGATGTGGAGAAAAAGGAACACTTGTGCACTGCTGGTGGGAATGCAGACTGGTGCAGCCACTGTGGAAGACAGTATGGAGTTTCCTCAAAAAACTGAAAATGGAACTCCCATTTGACCCTGTGATCCCACTTCTAGGAATATATCCCAAGAAAACAGAACCTCCAATCAGAAAGGATATATGCGATGCGGAGGCAGAGCTGCCTCAAACAGAGTGTCAAACTGCAGCGGGAAGGCCTGGGAGGGGTGGGGGGCAGGAGGTAGGGGGGTAAGAGATCAACCAAAGGACTTGTATGCCTGCATATAAGTATAACCAATGGACATAAGACACTGCGGGATAGGGGAGGCTAGGGGACTGTCTAGGGCGGGGTGGGGGAAAAATGGACACATATGTAATACCCTTTGTAATACTTTAAACAATAAAAAAAATCTGAAAAAAAAGAAAGACATGAGTGACAAATGAGCACATGAAAACCTGCTCAATATCAATAGTCATGAAGGAAATACAAATATAGCAAAATAGTCTAATGAGATACCGTTACACACCTATTAGGATGACTAAAATGTAAAAGACTGACATTGGATAGGATGTGGAGGAACTGAATTCAAATCCTGTTGGTCAGAGAGAGAGAAACATCCATAGGTACCTAGTGGCAACCACTCCCACAACCATTTGATGCATGAAAAGATGCTCAACCAACTGAGGCACTCTGGGCATGCTAAGATAAAGAAAAGAAAAATGTAAAGTTTATTTGGTTCTAGCAATTTTTTTTCTTTTTTTAAAATTGGTTTTGGGGAGAGAGAGAGATCAATTTATTGTTCCACTTATTTATGCATTTATTGGTTGATTCTTATATATGCCCTGACCTGGGATGGAACCAACAACTTTGGCTTATGGGGACAATGCTCTAACCAACTGAACTACACAGCCAGGTGGTTCTAGCAGTTTTTTGGTTTTTTTTAAAATATATTTTATTGATTTTTTACAGAGAGGAAGGGAGAGAGATAGTTAGAAACATCGATGAGAGAGAAACATCGATCAGCCGCCTCCTGCACATCTCCACTGGGGATGTGCCCGAAACCCAGGCACACGCCCCTGACCGGAATCGAACCTGGGATATTTCAGTCCGCAGGCCGACGCTCTATCCACTGAGCCAAACCGGTTTCCGCTGGTTCTAGCAGTTTTTAAAAATTTAGGTGAAATTTACATAATGTGCAATTAACCATTTTAAGGGTACAACCCAGGGGCATTTAGTTATATTCCCAATGTTGTTTACCTAGCGATATCTTTTTTTCTTTTTTGTTCTTTTTTCTTTATACCCAGTAACATCAAAAGTGCTGTCTTTACATATACTTTAACATTTGCATTTAACATTTTTTCATAATTTTTTAACAAGTTAAAAAACAGCAAAATAGCTCAAATTACAATGTTATATTTTTCATTCTGATTAGTTCCTCACACACCCATACACATATACAATGTATATATGTGTATGCACAGAAAGGGAATACTTGAATATCCAGCTATGCTAGAATTCCATTTCCTAAGAGATCCTCATACTTCATTCATTGTTAGTTATCCTGGATCCTAAAACAGGCTGCCAACCTGCGGGACTGTGACAGCTAATGAACAATATGATGACTATACATCTGTGCATTCAAGGTAACTCCCTGAGCTTATATGGTGCCAGTCACCAAAATAAACACTGCAGATTTCACTTAACTCATTCTGGAAAGATGGTCAGTCTGCTCTTTGACTCAGTACTGTATGTGATCACCATCATCATCATCATCATTGTTGTCGTCATCATCATTTTCATTTAGTAAAACCAAGTGGGCAAACGAAAGAATAGGTAAATTCAGTTCTCACTAAATTGTTTCTTCTCGCTGTGCCCTCTGTTTTCACTCTTTTGGGAATAGTTGAGGCCATCTTGTTTCACCTTGTGTTGCAGTGTTGCCTCTGCTGTGCCTGTCTTGAGAAGAATCCGCTTTGTGCTGGTTGTCCTCAGTAACTGACTCTAAGGCACTCCGTTTTGAGCACATCTCTAGTTACTAGATCTAGACTGATTTCTGCTGAGATGTCTTGGTTTTCATGTTTTCTTTCCACACGTTAGGAAAATCCAGCCTTCCGAGCTGAGTGCTTTGTTTGAGCCCTGTCCAAACGAAGCAATAGGAGAGAGCTGAGTTATTCAGGTTGGGTTGCTCCTGAAGGCCAGATCCTCTCCCATCACTGCTGCAGTCAGGGATATTTCTCTGTGGTTTTTTTTTTCTTCAAATTCTTGCCTCACCAGGAATTGGTGAACCTCTTCCTGGGCGTATGTAATAGTGGTGCATGATGCGGTAGGGGTGGGGAACAGCTGAAACTCTCCTCTGCGGCCTGAAGGGTAGAGCAGAGGGGGAGCTGCCATCACTTTCCAGGAGGTGGTTTCTCCCTGTAAATTCTAAATGTTGTGTAGAGGAGCCAGTAGCCTGGCTGCAGTTGCTGGAGGGGAAGGCTATGGAGGAGAGGCAGGCTCCCAGCCTGTCTTTGGGTCAGTTCAGTATCACCTACCAGCCAGATGTGTTTCCATGGAAAGAATTCACTCCACCATTATTAAGTAGCTTAGCTTCACATGTTTTCTTGAAACAGAAATTGGTAGAACCACAGCTCCGTGATTCATTTGATTTAGGTTTTAGTTCTCAGACTCCAATCATAGCAGAAGAGGCAGCTAGACATCTTTTATTTACTATACATAAACATGAATTGGTGTTCTTTTGCTGTAATACCCCATTTTCACCTATACGTGGGTTAACTAGTTTATTACAGGCTGATTGCCAACAGTGCTTTTTAGTTAGGTGTGCAGTTTTGGAAATTGTTACAGTGTTTAGTTTTGACATGTAAAAACCCATTTTACATATAACTACCTACAAAACACATTTCTTTTTACAGATACCTGCCACTATAATCATGGTCGTTTTCTATTTCTAGAAAGGTTTACTTTAAATAAAATAAAGGTGAGTCAACATAAGGAAAGTAATACAGCCTTAACCAGTTTGGCTCAGTGGATAGAGCGCTGGCCTGCGGACTGAAAGGTTCCAGGTTCAATTCCGATCAAGGAATTGCATGTACCTTGGTTGCAGGCACATCCCCAGTAGGAGGTGTGCAAGAGGCAGCTGATCGATGTTTCTCTCATGGATGTTTCTGACTTTCTATCCCCTCTCCCTTCCTCTCTGTAAAAAATCAATAAAATATATAAAAAAATGAAGACAAATAAATAAAAAATGACTTATAAAAAAAAAAGTAATACATAATAACACAAGTGGTTTGGAGATGCACCCGAACTAGAGACAGTGGGACCAGAACTGCTAGAGTTTGGAAAACGGGTCTCGTGGGAGTAGAGGGGTGGGTGCGAGGGGACTACGGAATCCCGGAAGGCCACGGAGAAGGCGTAAACCCCGACCTCGTGGAAGAGACGGCCCCGCCTCCCCTC